GTGGAAAGTGATATGGAATGAAATAGAAAATTAAGCAGGATGTTTCCATGAACCTGGAGAAAGGAGACCATTCTCTGTTAAATTCTTTGGGTTCCTAGAGTTACTTCTATCAATAGATTCGTATTGGTTGCATTTTCTTTAATTGCATAGGTTTACATAAAGAGACATTTCTGACATTTTATCAGAGCTTATCCATATTGGTCTGTTTTGTCTTTACCTCTGTCTGGCTATGAGATATGGCAGAAATATGGCATTTGCCAGGGGAGGAGGTTAAATTAATCTAAATAAAAGATTCAGCTTTCCTGGACCATGCTGTGGCAGAATAGGGCAAGTATAAAGGAGTAACTTAATGTTTGGGAGCTCTGAGTGCCGTGACTTACACAGATTGTGTCGTGTTACCATGTGACACCTTCCCTCACCACCAATTATCTTCTTTTATGTCTTTCTATATAATACAAAACTTGTGGGCTGACTTGGGTTTCAGAAATAACTAGCTTATTGGCACAAAGAGTTTGTATACATCCATTGAAGTCAATGGCAAGTTACATTGGGCTGCAGCCTGCCTCCAGTGAGGTCAAAGTGCGAAGAATTTTATGTGATCTTTGCAAAACCCTATGAAAGTGTTATAAATGATTATGACTACAGCAGCTCTCTCCTGGATATAGCCTAGTGATAGCACATCACAAGTACTAGAGAGGAAGGTTCAATATGATCATTCATCTGTTTATATACAGCAGTGTTTCTCAACCAGTGGTATGAATACCCTTAGGGGTACTTGAGAGAAATCTGGGGAGTACGTCAACACAATTGAAATTTGGAGAAAACTCAATTTTTGTTTTAGGTTTTACAGTGTTTTATTGTTTTTGTACTTTTTACACCCAAAAATTTCATCACCTGCCCGGCTGCGATTAAGTTGTTTAAACAAACATGTTGCAAAGACAGAAAAAAAATTGTGTGTGTCTGAAAACTGTAGGTACTGGGGGATACTTATAATTTTTTTGAAGGGGTACTTTATAAAAAAAGGTTGAGAAACACTGATATACAGCACTGTCCCCAGGGGAATATGAGCTTAGAACATTTATGTTTTAGAAAAAAAGTGTAAATACAAAGCAGGATCTTTGAGCTGACAGACTTTTTCTCCTGAGACATTTTTAATCTCTAGGATGGAGAAGTCCCTGTTTGAATGTGCTGAAGTGTTTTTCCTTTGCAATTCAGACAAACAAGTCACGTTTACTTTGCTTGACCTTTTCTGATGACACGCCTACCTGGTGAATACAAACAGTAGCTCTGCCTCATACATGCACCCCGCCTGTATGAAAAGGGTGATTCTGAAAGGAGATTTCCTTAAACTAACTTAGGTGAAAAACTGGATCAGAGAGGCTTTATGCAATTCAGAGTAATTTGGTTTTAAAAATCATGGTGTGAAGTTTAGTGCTTATAAAAGTAACATGAGGGTTTGGTTAGTGAGGGCAGGAACAGTGCAAGCTTCCCCTATAATAGCTCTACCAGTGCACCTCAGTCTTGACACTAGCACTGCTGTTTCAGCCCTCAGTTCTGCTACTACCACCATCCCCAGTTTCACTGATACACGTTACCCATGAACAACCCTAATCCTTAGGGAGAAGGGCAGGGGGAAGAGCCCTCTTCCTAGGGCTTGTAAACATTATGGAGAAGATTAACCCTCCAGAGGTCGATCTTCTAGTGTTCAGTTTAGTGGATCTAGTGTAGACCACCCAATCAAATGCTGAGGGCAGCCCCCACCAGCATCCTGTGCTCCTCATTCTGAGAGGAGTAAGGGAAGCCTGGACAGGAGTGTGTGAGCCCATTGGCCTCCTGCAGTTTATCATAGAATCATAGAATACAAGGACTGGAAGGGACTCCCCTGTCCCCATGGCAAGACCAAATAGTGTCTAGACCATCCCTGATAGACTTTTATCTAACCTACTCTTAAATAGCTCCAGAGATGGGGATTCCACAACCTCCCTGGGCAATTTATTCCAGTGTTTGACTACCCTGACAGTTAGGAACTTTTTCCTAATGTCCAACCTAAACCTCCCTTGCTGCAGTTTAAGCCCATTGCTTTTTGTTCTATCCTCAGAGGCCAAGATGAACAAATTTTCTCCCTCCTCCTTATGACACCCTTTTAGACACTTGAAAACGGCTATCCTGTCCCCCCTCAATCTTCTCTATTCTAAACTAAACAAACCCAAATCTTTCAGCCTTCCTTCATAGGTCATGTTCTCTAGACCTTTAATCATTCTTGTTGCTCTTTAATCATTCTTGTTTAGATGCTGCAGTGTCTCAGCTTAAGGTAAGCCGAATCCAGCTATGTATTTTGCTGGTCTAGTGTAGTCCAGTGTGCTTGTCGCTGGACTACTCATTCTTTTAGGCAGCACCAGAAGTGATGAGGAAATAAATGTCAGTCTTCTGAGAGCAAATGGGTGCCCTGGGAAGAAGGTCAGAGAAGCCCTAAGGAAACTCCTACCACTGCAAGAGGAGAATAGATATTTCCAGCTTCCTTGGGAAGGATCGAGTGGAGCCCTTTTCTCCTAGCTTTTGAACCACATGAGCAGACCTCTAAAACCATCAAGAAGGGGCTCTTTCACCAGACAAAGTGTAATGTAGCCATACTGCCCATGTGTAGCCCTGTGTCCCCACATTAGAGAGCTGGATCTGAGGTGGCTCTGTTACCAGAGACTATGGACGGGGAGTGTAAGGTTTTTGTTCTGTTTTGTTTTGTTCTGTTTCCATTGTCTCCTTGTAGTGGTTATGAAGTACGCACTGTGGACATTGCAAGTTTCTTCCTTTTTTCCTGTGTTAAACAATTAGTCCCAAATACCTTCTTGTTTTTGTTCTTGATGTAAGTGACAAGCTGAAAGTCTTCTGGAATCCTAGCCCAATTCTCTGCTCACTATTTGTGTCTATGATTTTCATTTACATTAAGGCCACTTTACTCCTCATGGGCAGCAGAAAGGGATTGGGAAAGTGAGAGCAAATGTATTTAAAGTGGCTATAAGCCCTGGTTCTCGCTCACACTATGGAGCATGTCTACACTGGGGAGTTATTTCAAGATAACTCCCCTTATTTCAAAATAACAAGGCGAGCATCCACGCTACCAACCCTGTCATTTTGAAATAATGGGCTTGTTATTTCAAAATAATAACTCCTGCTTGTGAAAAGGAATAAGCATATTTTGAAACAGTTATTTCAGGAGTTATTATTTCGAAATAACTTATTTTGAAATAACCTAGTAGTGTAGACATAGGCTATATGTGCAGAGAATTTGCACGTGGGGACTAGTGTGAGGGACATTCTCTGGTCTTTAGGATTTAGGATTAGCCCTGAGACCTGGTGGAATCAAGAAAAGAGTGTGACTATGAACCTTCAGTTGTGGATGGCATCTCAAAGTCTGACACAAACGCAAGTGTCCCCAAAGCGCCTGTCTCCTACTGGTCAATTTCATCATTTTAAATTATTCTTGTAGTTGGAAGTTGGCAGCCAAGTGTCCTTTGGGAGAAATGCACCTTCATTCTCTCTGAAGAATTGGTTCCCCAGACATAGATGAAGGATTCTTTGGGCTACACTGGCTGAGCCATGAGGGTAGGGATTGAGGGATACCAGAACTGCTTCAACAGGATTATTCTAAGAGGTTTTCCTAAGTGTTCATCAGAGTGAATATCAGAGGGGATAGGGATTTATAATCCTGTTTATTTGAAGACATATAATCTTCCTGAAGCTCTTAAATGGTGCCTGAATCTTTAATTACAGAGCTGCAAGATGGGATGCTGCTAACAGGCCCCCCTGCACTGACTTTTGCTGAGGGTAATTGGCAGTAAGTAGTCACATGAACATTAAGCTGACGCTAGGCTTGGCTATCTTAGGATAAAATATTGGCAGATGTTTAACAGTGAACTTGCTTTGGCAGTCAGTAAATGTGGCCACCCCTGTTCTAAGGTAATGAAAGGAATACCTAGGGCAGGGCTACTCAACACGTGGCCCATGAGCTGCATGTGGCCCACGGTCCATTTGTTTGCAGCCCATGATGTGGTTTGGGTTTACGTGGTGCTCAACATGTGGCCTGCGGGTGGGAGCCAAAGCAAAAAAATAATCAATATAGTGGTTTTCTGTTGATATGCGTTTTAGCATTTAAATTCCTGGACTGTCATTGCTCATTAAAAGTGCTGTCACATGGGTGGAAATCTGGTAAATATTGTGTTTTATTAATATCAGCAGAACCAACTTAAATGGGGCCTGCGTGTTGTGTAGTCTTGCCTTAATCTTTGTATTCATGCCCATCAGTGTGAAAGAAGCTATTTGTATATATATGTGCATGTATATGCAACCACACTTAAGTTGCGGCCCTTGGCATGTTCTGTGAGTATTATTGTGGCCCCCGGGGCTTCCAAAGTTGAGTAGCCCTGACCTAGGGTGTTGGAAATACACTAGGTGGCACTCTTCTGAGCCAGTAGTGTATCATCCCCATAATAGTGGTAGGGAACCTTGTGCTGTAGCAATTGGTATCCCTCAGTAGGAGATGCTCTCTGGGAGTACAGAGCCCAGTGCCCTAATGTGGTGCTGCAGAAGTTGTCCTTGTCAGAGTCATTGGGATGTCCAGGAGAAGTTCTAGATTGTGCTGGGGACACACATTAGCACTGGGCCCTGCAAAGGCGGAGCAGTCAGCCCTGGCCTGGCTGCCACTCTTGCCTGCAATGGTCTTTCACAGCTTTCTCCCTCTTACATCTCCCCACAATGGCTTCTGTCTGTGTTGTCCCCCAGGCTGTCTGGGGCCTGATAGCTGCTCAGATCCTCCACGAGCCCAGTTCCCTGCCCTGGCTCTGGGTAGGATGCGCCCACTGTCCCTAGCTCTGTGCTGTCAGTGTGAGAGCAAGGGAGGAGCAGGGCATTGCACCAGAGCTTCCTTAAGAGGCTGATCAAGGAGGGGAGTGCTGCCTCGCACAACCTTTAATATTCATGAGCTAGGGGGCGTGATGTCCAGGCCGGCCAGGCGGCTGAGCCTGGGGATCCTCGGCGGAGTGTGAAAGTGACAGCTGGGCAGAGGGGAGTCCCGGCGGAGTGCACCGCCCCGCCTTCCTCCTGCACGGCTCCAGGAGGCAGCCCGGGCCCCTGCCCGCGCCCGGGGGGTTCGGATCTGCCCAGCCCCAGGCGTGGCACCTTTGCCCCCCTGTCCCGTCCTCAGCCGTGGGGGGCCCCCCAGCAGCCCCCGCCTCTCCGGGGAGCCCCTGTGCCCCCGCGCCCTATGGATTGCCGCCGTCCCTTGGGAGGAGGAGCCATGTGCAGTCGGTGCCCGGGGCCCTGCCATCGGCTGCACCGGGCGGCGCGGGAGTAACTCCGAGCCTGGCGGGTCTGCGGAGGGAGCGAGGACGCCCCGGCTCCGGCCCGCCGCGCTGGCGGGAGGGCGGCTCTGCGCCGCACCTAACCCCGGCACCATGGACAGTATCCTGGAGCCCTTCCCCTCCGAGCGCCTCTTCCCCGGAGGCGGCTCCGGCTTCCTGGACCTGGGCGACCTGAACGAAGCGGATTTCCTCAGCAATGTGGTAAGGGCGCCGGCCGGCGGGGGGCGGGGGCTGCCTGGGCTCGTCCTGCTTGTCCTGGGCTCCCCGCCAAACGGCTCCTACTCGTGCCGGGAGCCTGGGCAGCGCAGCGCCCCTTTTCCTGCACCTGGCTGCAGTCCTGAGCGCCCCCTGGGCCTCAAAGCTCAGCCAGCTCAAGTCCTCTGGAGCTCCCCCTCCCCACACACACACACACACAACTCCTGGCACCTCCTCTAGGGGATCGGTCGTCTCAGCCCCTCTAGTAAGATCCATGCCATTGTTTTTGAAACCGTGTCTAATAGGGATCCCGCAGCAGGTCCTGGGGTGTAATTCCGTGGCATAATTAACTCATCCCACTCTAACTGCACTGGAGAGTGGAGACCCTAAAGCTGTGGGGGCAGCCCTTCTGCTGCTATTTCCCTTGCTTACCTGCTTTTTGTAAAATGACCTGGGGGTGAAACATCTGTTGCTTGGCTAACACAGTAGCGATTTACTTTAGGGGGAGGACGAGTGAACTAGGACTAGATCTATTTAGTGTGTCAAAAGAGAGTATTTGTCTTTAAGAAGATTGTCCAGACTTTGTGTACTCATGTCATGTAACTCACATGTACAGTAGTTCCATAGGAGGTCGTTATCCCAGATGAGGAATTCAAACTTTGTTGTTTGTGAGCAAATGTAGCTTTGGATTATCTGGGGCCTTTCAGGTAGCTGGGGTTATCGTCCCAGTAAAAGATAAAACAGTGACACAGAATCTGGTTTGTTCTAAGTGTAACATGTTTTATTTACATGTACACCAGTCCTGGAACAGAGATGGTCACAAACAGCATGGAAGTAATACCTCCTTTCAGGCCTCTCCATGGCCTGTCTCAAGAATTGACTCCAGTTAGAGACAAAGGATATGTCAACATCATGGAGGGACTGCAGCACATGTACACATGCCTAAATTACCTTTGATCTAGCTAACTCAATCAATATCAGTGAATTCCAGCAGCAAGGGACCCTGATGATATATTGGAGTGACTAACCTGTACTGCAGCAAGTCTTCTATAAGTTATTTGAGCTAAATAGAGCACATCTAGCCTACTGTTTATGAGTGGAGACGGCATACCTCTAATTGTAGTGTAGACATACCCTTAGGTTGAGAGTAAATTCTTCTTCTGCTTACACAGCTCATTCTACCTAGAATCTTTGCATGCCAAAACTAACCCACGCACAGCAGGTCTTCTCAAGACAGAACATTTGTTCTCAACCTAAGACCTGGTCTGCATACATTTGAAAGTTTTACTTGTGTAATTATTTTAATTAGGAGTGGGATCTCTGCCACCCCCTCAGTAATACTGGTAAAAGCCTTTGGATGGGATGAAGTTATTCTAATATAAAAGTCCCTTGCAGCAAATTAGCTTATTTTTATATAAGAATAATATAAATCATTATATGTATTTTTATGCCACTATATCTGGAGCCGCATTAGGGGAGTTGTATAACTTAACTATATCAAATAGACTATACCTACTGCCTCATCCAGTGATACCCACCATGACATGATATTTACAAATGTGTACTGACCATATGCATTGTGTTAATTTCCTGACTGATTAAATTCCATCTCTGTTCTGGCAGTGACTGTAAAACTGACCTGAGGAGTATCCATTTTCATTATTTCTCAGTGACTCTAGATTTATTATGCTCAATTGACAAGTAAAAACTTTTTTTTCCATTTACACCACAGACTACCCTGGGGATCTGAGACTCTTTGTTCTTGTGCAGGATCAACAATAAAGATTCTGTAATCTTAGTGCAGATAACAAATCTGTTGATGATACCAAAGCCAGAATGTACTGGAATCTAATTCACCCTTTGTGTAGTGGATCTGCAGGGAAAACTCCCATAAAAAGGAGCAAAGATTAACTTTAGGAAATCCATCAAATCTTAATGGGACGGGATCTGTTGATTAAGAAGATCTCATTTTTACATAGTTGCTTTTCAGAGTATTGTACTTAACATCAAAGCACTAGGGTTGCATGGTAATCCTTAAAACTGTCAATGATTTTTCTTTGGAGGGAGAGATGAGGTGCAATATGGAGACTCTTCATGTAATGCTCAGCAAATGTAGTTCCCTCTAAAGAAGTTGAGTGAGCATTGAGTTCACTAAGAACCCTTTCCTGCAACAGTAACCTTCTTTAGTTAATCATCTTGTCACTTAAGCAGTAGTTTATAAAATCTAAGTCTGTTACAAGATGAAATAATTGGATCATAGGTCTAAGGTGCATCTTGGAATTAATAAATTAATGTGTTTGAAAGAGAACAGTGTTATTTGTCAGAGGATGACTGATATCTAGTTTAAAAAGCATAAACATGGCTGGGTCTAATCAGTGCTTGGATGGGTACACACAAGGGAAAAGGTGTCCATGGAAAATGTTCCTTTTGTTCACTGAGATGAGCATATTACTAATGACAGAAAAATCAGATTCTCCTTTAGCTTTCTGGGTCACTCTACTGCTTTTGAACACGGAAGAGTTTGTTCAGTGTTTTCATTAGAAATGACTGATTAGTAATAAAGCTAATCCTTCATGTGATGTTTGCTTATTGAATTAACCTGTCTGAATTCTGCACTATCCACACCAGGCTTTGGCATTTGTCGTTATTCTTGTCAGAATGCACATATTCACTCCCTGATTTTATTAGAGTTATGGCTCAGGTAGCTCTCTCTCTGTCTCTCTCTCAGCTTTCATTATCAAGCTTCTTAGCCTTATGATTCTGAAATTGCGCCTTCAGGCTCCAGCACCCTTTTTCTCACTTTTTGCTCTACAGTGAGGCCCAATGAGTTCAGACACCTGTTGAGACTTGTACCCTTCAGGAATCATGCACCCAGTAAGCATTTGTTTTTAAAACACTGCAGAACTGCAGCTATGCCAGAGCTAGCTGTTACCAGAAGTATCCCGAAAAAACTCCACCGCATCCAGGGAATGCGTTTGCTCTTCCCCTTTTTTTTGCAGAAGAGCAAACACGCTCTTTCAGAAGCCCCTGTATTCCTTGTTCCATGAGGAAGAAGGGGGCTTTCAAAAGATGGGGGAGGGTCTGAAAGTTGGCCCAATCTAGATGGGCCAAATTTTGGAAAAGCCTCTTCTGACAAAAGTATCGGAAAAAGATACGCAAAATACGGAGCGCATTTTGTGTATCTTTTTCCAATAGATCCTCGCAGTCTAGACATACCCTTTCAAACATAACCATAGTCTGTTCCTTGTGGGTGTGCAGAAGGCCAGTGCAAGGCCTATGTCCCATAAGCTCCTCTTTTATATCTTATTTTTATAATTTAATTAGTGAACATAAGAACGGCCGTACTGGGTCAGACCAAAGGTCCATCTAGCCCAGTAAGGGTGCCCCAGAGAGGGTGGACCAAAGACAATGATCAAGCCATTTGTCTCCTGCAATCCTTCTCCAGCCAACAGAGGCCAGGGACACCATTTCTATCCCCTGGCTAATAGCCTTTTATGGACCTAACCTCCATGAAATTATCTAGCTTCTCTTTAAACTCTGTTATAGTCCTAGCCTTCACAGCCTCCTCTGGCAAGGAGTTCCACAGGTTGACCACGCACTGTGATCAATGGCCTAAGTGATCAATGTAACAAGTTGTATTTTCATGGCATTTCTTTCCCAGAAACAGAACAGGCTGGTCTGGGAGCAGGTTGAGTACAACATAGTCTATCTTGTGGCAACAGCAGAAGCATAAAAAAGAAAAAAGTGAAGTTTAACCAGCACAGCAAATACACACTGTACTGAGGGCCTCCAATTCAGGGGGGGCAAGAGGGCAGCTGTCCTAAAGCCTGGCAATTTAAAAGATACTGACAATGGCCAGAGTTGTGGCCTCTTTACATTATTGCTGGAGCCCTGGGCAAGGTGTATCTCAGCAACGTCAGAGGTGATGGGTAACTTGTTTGTACCTCTGTATAAAATGTACCCCAAAGACTTGTCTTTGTCCAGCTGAGGGGGCACTGTTGCATTCCAGCTGACTGAGCTTATCCATTGTCAGGGGGTATATATGCGGAGTGACTGAGTAGAGTTTATTGACAACTGTTGTTGTATTTCATTTGACAACATACCTGGCCTGGTGCCTTCAATCCTTATCTGATTTTGGGGTGGTTGGGGGCTGACCCTGAGTCTGCTGTGTCAACTACTTGTACAAAGTCAGCACAACACACCATATGCACGCAGCCAAAGTGTTAGCATCATAGATGGAGTAGGAGACATGTCAAGATACCACACTGGTAACTTTCATTAGTGGAGCAGGGGCGGGGAGAAGGATGGTTAAATATCCCCGTTAGCAAGCCTTGCTCTGCTCTTGGCCCAGGGGTGGGTTTTTCCCTGTATGAACCCCATTCTTTCCTTCCTTGCCCCCACAGCTGGAATTAAACGGTTAGCCATGAATTCTCATCAGATTCTATTTCTCTTGTTGGATTTCAGAGCTAACTGGTTACTAGCCAGGGGCCATTGCATGACTTCAAATTTCATTGGGTTTTAGAGGGGAATGTTTTATGCCCAAATCCTGGGGCCAAAAAACTTCTGTGCCCCCACCAATTATTGGGGTGCCCCTCTCTTTATGTAGGCACCTGATATCAGATGTTATGAGAGGCCCACAACTGTCTCTGGGGCTGATACCAGGCATAGACACATTTGAAAGTATCATTTCCTAATCCTCAAGCTAATAAATGTAGTTAATTTGTATTATTCTTATAGTTACATGTCTTTAGTTTCTTGGTCTGTTTTGGTGTAATGGGCAGGTCAGTAAAAATATATGATCTTTATCTTATTTAGAATTTGGCTTGTCAGCAATAGCTCAGTGGCCCTTCTGGATAGGTAGTAGATATGGAGAGACTTTGGCTGAAGGAAAGCATTTTAATAACAGACATTCCCAGGTTTTCTTAATTTTTCTGATTTTTCATTTGGCTCGTTCACTTTGCTTCTCTTCCTGGACACTCTCTTGTAGCTGATCTTGCATCCAGAGA